TTCTAATGTCATTATTTTTCCACTATATTATTCTATTTTATGTTATACATTATTTCCACTAGTTTGTTATCTTCATGTTTACACATAGATCTTAGTAGTTTAATATCATACTATTGTGTTGGTATTTTTTTTTTAAAAAAAAAACCCTTACCTTTCCCTTTCCCTTTCTCTGTTCTTTATCTCTTTTTCTTTTTCATCTACTTTGGGAGGACTTTTCCTCATCAGAAATCTGTTTTCTGGAACAGGAGGAATCTCTTCTGGACGAACTGTAGAAAGTGGCTGTTGCAATTCAGGATTTTCTGTTTCAGCTTCACTAGCTGAACTTAAATTTATAAAACAAAAGAAGATATTTATCTATATTTTTAGAATAATGTGTTAAGTTTTCAGATGGCAAACATATTTCAAATTTACTTTATTTTAGAAATTTGTATTGGAAAGTGGGAAAATATTTAATATTTTAATTTGAATTGTGCTGGTTTTTCTTATGCCTTGCTGATTCTAAAGACATGATTGAATATGAGGACATGCTTTTTTTGCCTTTTTACTAACATAGCAATTTTAAAAAACACTGTTGAAAATTATTGAACAAATATAAATCAACAAATGTAATCATGCTTATGGATAGTTTCTGAGCTGCTTAACTGGAAATGGATCCACACTACAGAAAGTCTCCAGGTTGTGACCCTCCAGTTTAGAAACGATCACTATTTAACCTTGCAGTATCTCCATGAGCATTCGTTTTTACTGGTTTCTGAAAGCATTGCACAGCTCAAGAAAGAATGTTGTCTGTCATTTTCAGTCATGTCGCACTCATTTTTCTTTCCAACTCAAATGGCAAACATTACTTTACCCCCATGAACTGAAGCATCGCTGAAGCAGCACAATGCCTATATGAGCATCACAAAGTAATGCATTTATTTTTAATATGCAGGTAGTCCTCAGTTTATGAACACAATTGAGTCCAACAAGTGACTAAATAGCTTGTTGCAGTTTACATACAAATAGACTTAAAGGTAATTTAGGATTTGTTCTTAAGCTGGGGACTTGCTGTCTTATAAAACCATTGGATTGATTTCCTACCGTGTTTCCCTGAAAATACATCATGTCCTGATAATAAGGCCATGCCACATTTTTCTGGTGGGCAAAAATATAAGCCCTCCCCCACAAATAAGCCCCCTGGACAACCCCCCACCTTCAGCCAGGCAGAGCGCAGCTCACCAACCTAGTGGTATCCCGAAGGTGCCAAGCCGTGGGAACCTGGGGGGGGGGGAGGCAAAAGTGATCACGTTGCTTGGTGCCTTCGGAATACCGCTAGGTTGGTGAGCAGCACTGTGCCCAGCTGAAGAGGGGGGGTTGCCAGGCGGCTGCTCTCTTGCGAGCGGGCTCTCAAAGAGCCGGGCACAGCCTCATGGGCGAATAGCTGTGTTGCGCTGTCGCAGCAGTGCAACACAACAGCCATGAAGCGACCCCGCTCACGAGCATCCGCCTGGCAAACTGCCTTTCCAGCCGGGCACAGCACTATTCACTGACCTAGGGGTATCGCCAAGCCGCGTGAGCACCTGTTTGTCGCCGCCCAGTCCCGTGGCTTGGCACCTTCGAAATGTCAGTGAAAGGTGCTCTGCATGGCTGGAGAGGGGGGTTGCGCGAGTGGCTGTTCTGCTCCCGCTCGCGAACTTCCCAGCCTCACAATGCCCGGGCCCAGCTCTCCCTGCAGAGGCAGAGAACCTCTGCAGCCGCCGCCGCATGGCTTTTTCTGTGGCTTTCAAACCGAGTCTTCCGGCAGTGGCCGCTCTGGACATGCTCTCTATGGTTGTGGACCAGCTACCAGCCGAGTGTACAACCACAGTGTACGTCAAGAGCAGCCACTGCCAGAAGACTCTGTTTGGAAGCCGCCGAAAAAGTCATGCTGCGGCGGCGGCACTCTGCCTCTGTGGGGAGAGCTGGGCCAGGGCATCGTGAGGCTGGGAGGCATGTGAATGGGAGCAGAACAGCTGCTTGCGCAACCCCCCCCCTCTCCAGCTGTGCAGAGCGCCTTTCACTGGCATTTCGAAGGCATCAAGTCACGAGAGCTAGGCGGCGGTGAACAGGCGCTCACACGGCTTGGCGATACCCCATGGTCAGTGAACGGCGCTGTGCCCGGCTGGAAAGGGAGTTTGCTGGGTGGCTGCTCGTGAGCGTGGTCGCTTCATGGCTGTTGTGTAGTGCTGCTGCGACAGCGCATCACAGCCATTCGACCCTGAGGCTGTGCCGGCTCAATGAGAGCCCGCTCGCAAGAGAGCAGCCGCCTGGCAACCCCAAAACAATAAACCCTCCCATCATAATAAGTCCCAAGCCATATTTTGTGAGTAAAAAGAAAATAAGACCCTGTCTTATTTTTGGGGAAACACGGTAGCAATGGAAGCATTGTTTTCCAAGTATCCTAAGAGTTCATCCAAAAATATAGTTAAAATTATTATGATTTTAGATACATAAGAAATCCTATAAAGATATTTATTTCACAAACTAACTGAAAGTGACAATGGAAAATGTATCTTTAATTCCTTCAATTTATTCTGTGTTACATTTGTTGCGATAATAGTGCAGGAAATGTTTTAATGCTTTCATAGAAATCTTCCCTCTTATTCTCTATGTACCTCTTTTTGCTTTTTTCCTTCTTTTTCTTTTCTTTCTTATGTTTCTTAGAGGTTTTTTTGTGTTTCTTTTTCTTTTTCTTTGTTTTTTCTTCAGCAGCACTGTCAGATTCACTTGATGAATCAGAAGATGTTTTTGAATCACTTGAACTTTCTGAATCACTAGATGAAGATGACGACTTGCGTCTTTTCTTCTCTTCCTTCTTGGCTTTAAATGAAACCAACAGAAAAGCATTTACTGCCTAAGCGTAAAAAAATACTCTTCTTCTATCTTCTCCAGTTTATCCTTTAATTTCCAAATATTAAGGCAAATAAATAAAAGTTATTTCCTAAGAATGATTGTTCATATATGAAGATGCTAAATATTATTAAGAAATTTGTTTTAACTGTAATCACAGAATTGTAACTGTATCACCTTCAAGCAGAAATATATTGTTATACCTGCAGTGTCTAAAGATTCTTAATAAACAATTTTAACAATGGTGGTCTCTGGAGTTTAAAGCATTAAAGCATTAAAATAAGCCAAATAATTAATTTCTACAAAGGTGATTGGAAAACAAAAGATTAAAGCTGACTGTTTTTCTTTGCTGCATATGCAATTTGAAATGGAAATAGCAGACTATTATTAAAAAGGTATTTTAATTTTACCTTTAGATTTTTGAATTAGTTCTCCACAACTCATTATTCGCACTTCTGCATATGGTTTGCTAGATGCATCAGTCTTCTGATTTTCTATTTCCCTTACAACTTCTTGCCCCGAAATTACTTGTCCAAAAACAACATGATATCTAAATGAGTGAAGCATAATTTTAATAAATGGCTAACATTTCTAATTCATTGAAGAATTCAGCAGAATTTTCCAATTACAAGTAAGAGACAAAAATACATACCCATCAAGATGAGGGGTAGGCTTAGTTGTTCTATAGATGACACCAGGGGCAAGAATTTAATAAAAAAAGGATAATATTAGTAAAGTTGAGAAGGAGAGTGAGCACAAATTTGGTTTATTATGACAGAAATGACAAATATGAACAAAACACATTAAATATTGAACAGCAACAAAGTCAATACATTAACATTTATATACAGTTCTGATTATTACTGTAACCATACCTAAAATTCAAAAAATATGTTTAAACAAATATATTCTACATAGACTAATTCTGACTGAGGTAGTATACTTTGACAGCACTATACTATATATGGCATGAATATTCAGAACACCTCTGAATGGGAACAATTTCCTTCACCTAATGCTGTGATGGCGAACCTATGGCACGTGTACACCTGTTAGATGCACATGTGTGCTGGCCAGCTGTCTTTGGCCTTCTTTTAAGGCTCCGGGCCCAAAAGGAAAAAAGAGCCCTACGGCCAAACTGGAAGTCCGTTCCCGAATGTTCGGTTTGCGTGTTGGGTTGTTTATCACACCCAGGAAAGCCTCTGGAGGGCCTCCGGAGGGCCTCTGGGGGCAGGGCACGGGAGGATGTTATCACCCTCCCCAGGCTCCTAGAAAGCCGCTGGAGCCTGGGGAGGGCGAAAAACGGGTCCATCCCGGGCCAAAAGTCGGGGGCAGGGGGGTTGCGCGCATGCTTGCAGAGGTTGCGCACATATTATGGGTGTGGGCACACCCGTGCATGACCCCCCTGCACTCCCTCTGCTTTTGGCCCACGATGGGAAAAAGGTTAGCCATCATTGACCTAAAGTATATTATACTATAAAACAGGCTAAAGTAGACCATTTCCAAATATCCAATTTCTGTATGAGTATCATTTTTATATGGAGACATTTTCAATAACCTGAGCCATCACTTTTGCAATAGTTTAGACTCAGGTTCTTTTGTCAATGAGGCTATAGCTACAGTATTTTTCGAGGTATAAGACGCACCGGAGTATAAGATGCACCAAGGTTTTGAAGAGGCAATTTTTT